GTGGATTAAACAGGGACTTATTGAATTCCAGCATGGCATATGTTTCCATTCACAAAGATGCAATACGAGGACATAGAACGTCTCTGCTGGAACACCTTACTAACTCCCCCAATCTGCATCCGTCACGACTTCAACGAGGTGGTCTATGCCGAAGGGACAGCAAAATCCCAACACACTGGCGATAGAGGGCATGCATTTCGGCGCTCAGACGCTCACCCAAACCAGGTGCGAGGGTTTGCTGGGGCATTGGGGTCTTCTTCACGTTGGCTTTCTCCAAACCCAAAAGACCAACCAACCGTTCAGCATACTTCACATCCTGGGTGACCGTGAGGCCCTTTTCGTCCGAATCAAACTTGCGCTTAAGGAAGTGCGAGATCCCCCCATTCACGTCAACCGGGCCGTCAATCTTCACCTTCAGCCCTTTGTCCTTCAATTTATTCGCCAACGCCATTGGAGCACCCTTCACGCCAAGGATCTGCATGTCATCTACATGGCTGTTCAGGGCAACCTGCTGGGGAATTGCAAAGACTGCTGGGTTTCGTTTGAACGTTTCCATATACCCCCCTCAGCCAGCGTAGCTGCTAAGTCGTCATACCAATCGCGCGAACCAGCGCGTTGCCCTGGAAGGGTATACAAGAGTTCAAGATAATCAATGGAGGTTTGGATATACTTTACTTGCAAGTAGGTGTTGGTGACGTCAAGCGACACCAACTCCAGCTGCTGGCTGGACGCGAACATACATCCAAGGAGCTTGTGGCTGCAGACCACAGAGGCCGGACTATAAAGGTCAGATAAAGCAGGCTCCAAGAACTTGTATTCCTTGGCAACTAATCAACTAATCGTGCCCTTCGGGTCCAACCGCTCCTAAACCTCCAGTCCAGTACGTACGTGCACTGCAACTTGACCTTCCCTTCACGAGCTTCAGGAGCCATTCCGGCCAAGATGCCCATGTCCAAAAGGCGGCTGATCTCCTTCTCTTTCATCTGCTCATCCAGCTTTTCAAGCTCCTCGGGATCAAGCTCTGGGAGCCCTAGCTCGTAAGGCCTACCACTCCACGGCATCCCGGCATCACCGGGAACAGCACCAGCACTTTCTTCAAACACTTCTTCCTCTGGCTCACACAGGATCTCATCTTCAACGGGCATGTTTCCTATCTCTTCTTCTGGATCACAATCTACGAAATCATCCTCATGCCCATGAGGTTGTTCAGGATCAAGCACCCGAAACACAAACGGCACGAAACTCTCGCGGTCCACTGCTTCAACTTTGTCAACTTGCATTGCATCCGGAATCAAGTGCACCTCGACCCTTGGTCCTGGCAGCCACCACATCCAAAGTAGCATTCCAAGGGACGCCCTTCATGGCGACAATCATGTCAGCTTGGTAAACCTGAGCTGCACGACGGATAGTACGAGCATAGTGCACTCCACTCGCATTGGCCACTATACTCAGGTCACCTAATGACGACTTGCCCCTGTGCACTGCCTTCTCCCACGCAACACCTTTCACCTTCTTCTTCGGCACAAACTGACAAAACACAGTGGACCCGAAAGCTGCAATCTTCGAGTCATACTTTCTGCCATGAACGATTTCGAAACTTGTACAGCCATCATTGTGTACTTTGTACCGAGTCAAAAGAAAAGCTGCATGCCGAAAGCTCCAGGAATACAACGGGTGTGAAGAAGGGATAGCTCTCTGGGTGTTTGCAGTCACGGTGTGCAGCAAAGTGAGCCCCAAACGACGCACCAAATCAATGTACCTTTCAGCTCGGACTCCCTGATGCTCCGTCGAGTCGGGGACTGCTTCCTCGATCTCAGTCGAGAGACCCAACCTGGTGCGAGCGAGACAAACAAGCTGACACAATCGTTTCATGGCGGGCTCTGTATCTGCACGCAAAACCAACTCTGCATACCCCAAAGCCGAGGCCATCTGGACTACCTCCTCTACCGCATGCTTTGCACTATCTGGAGACTTTGACTCGAGTGGAACACACACCACATACTTGGTAGCGTGGCACACTGCAACCAGCTGCGTTGTCATCGGATGCTCCTCGTGAGGAACAGACTCACCTGTGCGATTGAACATAAAGTCCAAAGAGATGACATTGACCTGGCGCTTAGGTTCGACAACAGGGTGACCATCCTCTCGAGAACGGGCTGCTTGGCATGCTTCACACCAGTCACCAGTCTGCTCTGGGGATATGCGTAAGCTCGTGAATCATCACCGTCTGGGGATCAGGCTTCACAGGAAGTGGTCCATGGTTCACATCAGGGGTGTACGCTTCCACTGCCGCATCGCTAGCCTGAACAGCCACCTTCAACTGGTTCATGGCCACCTCCTTCTTGAGACGGTCCCAAAGCGTGGCTTTGGGTCCAGTGAACTCGGGCCCCAAAACAGGAGCTCCAATGCTCTGCCGAGGCTCATCTTCAGCTCCAGCAGTCTCGAGATCAGCTTCGCCAGAACCACCAGCATCACCAGGCGCAGGTCGAGGAAACCTGGGAACAATGGCCACATCTTCTGCAACTACTTTTCCTAGCGACTCGGGCTCGACAGGCTGGGTGGTGAGGATGGTGATCACTTTGGTAGTAGGGTTGCCTCCTATCTCCATCACAGGCTTTGGCTCCCAGTACTCACCGCACTCGAAGACTGTGTAGCGCCGGCCGCTCTGTTGCACCAAAGTGGTACGACGCGCCAAAACTTCAGGATCATACATCTCACTGGGGTCGGTTGTAGTGGACGAACTGTTGTTCACATGCGCAGGCTGACCATTCTCATTCAACTGCCAACCCCGTCTCTTCAAACTGTTCACGAACGACTCACCCAACTCAACCACCATGCGCACCTGGGCCTCTTCCGTTCTGAAAATTTTCATGGTAGCAGCAACGGAGTTCCTTGCCCAATGTAGAGGAAGAAAACTTGAGAACCCTTGGCTATCACAGGGTTCTCTGAGTCACGACCCATCACGAATCAACTTGCCAGCACAAAGGAGTGGTTGCTTGACACGCGCTAGCACTGCCTTGTGTTTAAAGACGATACTGCTACCATCGCAACCTTCCGCAACGAACGTCACTCCTTCCCTCACGGCAGCTTGCGGAATGACCGAGCCTTGCGCATCCACTATAAGGACACGCTCGCGTGGTCTTCGATGCCCACCTCATGTGCATCGGAAGCACCGTGACATCATCACCTGAGTCGAGGATTACTTCGTGACCCGCTGCTACTGCACGCACGCAGAGTTCGGCTTCTTCAGCTCGGGCTTGCTGCAACAGAACCCAATCGCTTTCAGCTCCACTTTCAAGCTCACACTGGGAATCAACTTCATCTTCATCGCACAAAGAGAAATGCAAAGTGGAAGTGGAAGGCAAAGAGCAGCTGCTACCACACTCAGACTGGACATCCTCTAGCAAGTCATGCTCTGCAGGCTCCACAATCTCAGCAACCATGCGCACATAGCCACCAAACCCATCATACTCATCCCAACCTTCATCCCAAACTTCTTCTGACTCATACCACGAAAGATCATGAACGTGACTTTCCCACAGTGGCTCGCCAACCTCACCTGCCTCGGTCTCGTCGAAGATCTCCTCCATCAGGACGTCGCGTGCAAGCTCCAGCCGGCGAACCTGGGATGTGGCAGAAGGTCGGGAACTACTCGAAGGGGCCGACTGCGACGACGTAGTAGGGGCTGAGGTGGCTCGGGTACTCACAGACAGGCTGTCATCATCTGACAGCTACTTGTTGCACACGGACTCGCAAATGACACTCTGCAGCACGATGACCCATGCGCCCACAGATAAAGCATGGACCTTTTCCCTTTCCACCAGGACTGCCAAAACCTGACCCAAAAGACTTCTTGCCTCTCTCCTTGCCTTTACCACCACCAACCTTGCCCTTGACATTGCCCTTGAAATTGGCGTAGCCCTTGTAACCCTTAGCCTGGTCGTAGCCCTTGTTGTGCCAAGAACCCTTATCGCCTTTGCCCTTCTTGCCTTTGTCCTTTCCAACATCACCCTTCTTGCCTTTCCAGGACCCTGCCCTGCTCGATGCATGGGCACAGGCCCGTTTCCTGGGCGCAAAGGCGAATCTTTGTCTACCCCGATAGCCTTCAGCACGTGTTCTGTCAACCATGTAGCTGCTGTTCGTTCGAATTGAAGGGTTCTCTATTATCGTTCATGTAGCATGTGTCGTGCATGCATGCAGGCAAGAAACTCGCACTCACTCATTTTCACGGGCGCTGCTCAGAGTAGGGTTCGGTTGCCTGGCAGTGCAGGCAATCGGAACAAGCCCCCTTTGCGTGTGAAACTGGTGCTGTCTATGTACGTGCGGTATAGTAAAAGGCGAGTCCAAGCGGGACTTAAGCAATGCGTGCTGAAAGGAAGAGCAAAGCGCGGTTGCTGACTGCTGCTTTTCGCAAAGGGCGGGCGGGAGTGGTTTGCGAAAAGCGCGCATGCATGCTGGAGGCCACAATGCTACAAGAACGCCTGTTGACAACATGCAAGCATGCAACAGAAATAGAAAACACTACGATGACAAAAAGAAAAGAGTCACGTAGAGCAGAGTGCTATGGAGACCATTGCACGGAGTGGAGTCTTCAATTTGTAACTGCAAATATCGCTTGATATCTTGTGGCAGGCCAGACATCAGCGTGGAGATCTTTAGATCCTCCGGGTACCGTGCGGACGATAGCTTCTCATACTCAGTGATAAGGCGTTCGTACCCTAAAGTGTACTCCAGTACCGAGGCACCCTCTTTCAAGGGTGGAAAGTGCGTGAGCGCCTGCGCAAGCGCAAGCACGCGCGGGCGCGCTGTAGTTCTTCTTTCAAGTGGTGCCACACAAGAAATCCGTCTCCTTTTGGCTCTGCACGAAGAATTTTCAATGCTCGCCCTCTCAAATAAGATGCAAGAATGGAATACAGCCGCAGAGACCTTGCTCTGATCGCAAGACCATGATCCTCAAAAGCCAAACACTCTGTTGAAGTCTCTGCCTTGGCAAAGTCACCCCTGTATTCATCATCTTGCACAGCCATGAAGTTCTTGAAAGAGAAGGCCCATTCGGGCCACATACTTATCTCCTCCTCTACGCTCTTGGGATTGAAGATCTCAGGGGCCTTTACGTACTTGGTCTCTCGCCACTCCTGTGTGCTAGGTGCAGAAGCGGCGGCCTGGGCACTACTAGCAGCAGCTAGCTGAGACAAGGCTTCAGAAACCCTAGCCAACACAACCGTCTGGTCCAAGGGTCCTTGCGGGGCTACTCTATGAGGAGAAGCTCCGCCTGGCTCTGTCCTCCTACATCTCCAGGATGCGGAGGCGCCGGGGTGGCATCTTGCTGTGTACTCATCTCGCTGGGCTCAAGGCTCAACAAAACTCACAAGCGCTTTGCCAAAGACCGCAGCACAGCAGCTGTTGTAAAAGCACTCAAAGGTCTGGCCGCCAGCAGCGGTTGTAGTACAAAACGCGGGGCAGCCACGGTCGAGGACTATGTGTTCACAGTACTCACACACTTCTACGTTTGCTCGCAAGGGCACGCAGGCACAGGCGAGACTTTGGAGAACACACACACACACACCGACAGGTCTGGGTCCCCCAGGTCCTGACTGTCTAGCCAGTCCTTCCAAAGGTCACGTAGCTGTCTATGGAGTCTCTGGTCGCTAGCGAGAGAGCAGCCTCTCTCGCCTCCACTCCAGGGAGCCCACCTTAGCGAGGATGAGCCTCCAGCTTGGCCCTTTTGTGGGGGGCCTCGGCATAGCTCCTGGCGTAGCCAGCGGCCAGGCGAGCGTAGCCCACCCCCATCGTGGAAAGGCTTCCCACCCCCTGCTGGCGGCCGGAACGGCGGGGTCCCGTCCAGCACCCGGCCCTCGGGTTGGTTTAGCGGAAAGGTGTCGTGGTTCGGTAGCAGCGTCTCCTCGTGCCCGGCATGAACCCCTCACCAACGGCAGCGTTAGCATGCACGAGGAGAGCAACATAGCAGACAACCATTGGCAGAGCTTAGCGGGCCACTGTTCAGGCCAGTGTAGCAGCCTTTTGTGTCATAGCGCGGCAAGCCCTCGAAAACACAATCAGGCATGGGTAGCGATGTGCGAAGTAGTAGCCGTGTTGGCTTAGCGTAGGGAGTCCCAAAGCTAGCCTGGTGAAACGCCACAGTCC